GCTCCTCAGAAACACTATACAGGGTTGCTACGAGTTGGAACTGACTCCACGGCACTTAATAACAATTCCTCCTTCAAGGAGCACTGGTGCGACAGTGGTTAAGTTCTTGGCTGCTAACTGAAAGTCAGTGGTTTGAACCTATCAGCTACCCTGAGGGAAAAAGATGTGACAGTCTGTTTATGTAAACATTTACAACCTTGGAAATGCTAAGGATCAGTTCTATTGTGTCCTAGAAGGTTGCTATGAAGCTGTGCGTCAACATCAACTTGAAGGCAATGATGTTTTTTGGTTTTGTTTTTTAAATCCCTCTTACGCTTTGCAGAAATTCCTCCTTCTCCATGACTTAATTTATATGCCACTTCTTCCATAAAGCCTTCCCAAATCCCCCAAATTGAAAGGCTAACTTCCTCCTGGAATACCTTCTGTTTGTCTTACTGTGTTGCCTTTTCTTTTTCTCTTTTATACTTTTTTTTTTTTCAATCTGTTGCTTGGTTTCTTTTTAAACTTCTTATTGTGAATTGAGTGAAGGTTTACAGATCATCAGTCTACATTTGATCAATCACATGATTCGTGAATTACAATGATTGTAACCCCTACTATGTAGCTCAGTTAACAGTCTTTACCTCTATTCACCTTAACACTTGCACTGCTCTGTGTCTTCCACTCGCTTCATCTTTCCTGTGTCCACCTCCCTCTTGTTGTATATTGCCTTCCCCAGCACCCAAGTTAGTATGTGTCTACCTTCTACCTCTCTCTTATACTTTTTTATGTTCACTGCAACTAATCAAAATTAATATTCTTCTTCCTGCATTTTACCCCTACTGTATTGAATAATCAATGGGAGACTGGTGTGTATTACTCTATACCTTTTTTTATTATCCCACTCATGAGTCTCTTTTGACTTATAGTGACCCATTGTGACACAGTAAAACTGCCCCATAGGGTTTCCAAACACTTGTGTACCTTTATGATAGCAGACTGCCTTCTTTTTTTCTGTGCAGTGACTGTTATATTTGAACTTGTGACCTTAAGCAGGTTGACACTTAACTCACAGAACCACCAGGGCTCCTTTCTCTGTTTATATGTTGATATATACATAGATACAAACTTATTATATAAGAGCAGGTTTGTTATATGTTTTTACAAAAATGAATTCCTACTGTATCCACTGCTCTGAAACTTGTTTTAAATTGTGTACTAAATCATGGACTGTCTTCAAAATGAATAGAAATAGATCTCATTCTTTTTAATAGGTGTATGCTATTTCTTCTCTGCACTTTTGATTACCTTCGTGCTGTTTTGCTCCTGAAGAGTCTAGACTTGTAGTTGTGTGTTTTGGGGTTTTTTGACCATCAAAACAGTGACTCGGGGCCCGATCTAGTTGAGATCTTGCCCATAGGCAAAAATTTTCAGAGTAGACTTTTCTCTATCTTAAACCAAAGAAAGGGACAGAGAAGTTTCTACCTTTGAGTGGCAGATTTTTTTTTCAGATTTTATAGTCTCTGATATGATGCCTTACCCTGTGAGTGCCCCAGATTTTGTCTCTTACTCCCCTCCCCTAATAATAAAAGTTCTAGATCACTCAGAGGTGTTGGAGATACGGCGGAGGCAGTCCATGGAGTAGGTGTTCAATCGTGTCAGCACCTCAGAGAATTTTCTTGACATTCTTGCCTTCTCAGCCATATTTGCTGTTGTTAAGTGCCATTGAGTTGGTTCCAACTCATAGCAACCTGTATAGGTTTTCCAAGGAGCGGCTAGTGAATTTGAACCACTAACCTTGTGGTTATATATAATATGAAATGTTTTCAGTATTTTAGAATAGCTAATCTTACATACTGTTGGAAACAGAAGTCCAGCATATTTTCATATACTCATTTACTCTTTTAGTAAAGTTATTTTTGCTCATATCTTTAGGATGGAGACATGTTTCAGGCATTTGTGTCCCTTACCTCCAACCCCTAGCCAAAGACAGTATCAGTAACTCTTGCTTCAATAAATGAAGTGATAACTCCCTGGGAAAGTGGGGAGAAGGAACAGTGGGAAAGTACCCCCAGTGGGTGGGGTAAAGCTGGATGGGGTGGTGTTATGGAAGCTAGGGGAATGAGTGCTGACCTTTACTGAGTCCTGCTTTAGGAAAGACCCATAAATGCATGATTCTAGAGTTTCTAAAATTTCTAAACTGACAAGACTCATTTGGATATTAGTTAAAACATCCAGGTTCCCAGACCCTTTCTTTGGAGATTTGGTTTCAATATTCTGGAGTGGAGATCAGGAATGTGTTTATCAAACACCCTAGGCAAGCCTTCCTAGTGAAGAATTTTGGAAACCACTATAAATTATTTCACTTAATTTAATCCTCACAACAGCCCAGCTAACTAAGGACTTGCATGTATTTTACAAAGAGGCAATTTGGGCTCAGAGACCTGAAGTAATGGATGGTCACACAGCTGGTAATGGCAGGTCCAGAATTCCTTTCCAGCTTGTCTTATGTCAGAACTTTATCTTTCTCTACCAGATACTAGTTGGTGATTTTTATTATTTTTAAACAAAGTTGTTGTTGTTGTTTTTTAGAATAGTTCTAGATTTTTTTTAGAATAGTTCTAGATTTATAGAGAACATTGAGGTAGAGAGATCCCATATACTCTAGACCCAGTTTCCTTAATATTTATGCAAGTATGGTTGTTGTTTTTGTGTTTTTAGATACCATATGTAAGTATGGGTATTGTTTTTGTTGTTGTTCAGTCCCTGAGGGTTTCTGAGGAGTGACTAGTGGGTTTGAACCATTGACCTTGAGGTGACAGCACCTCACCAGGTACATTTGTATAATTAATTAATCTTATTGATACATTATTATTGCTGTAGGCTAAACACTAAGCTACTAACCAAAAGGTTGGCAGTTCAAACATCCCAGCTGATCCTTGGAAACCCTAAACAGGGTTTCTATGAGTGGGAACCCACTCCACAGCACTAACAACAACAGCAACAACATACTTCATTCAGATATCCTTAGTTTTTACTTAATGTCCATTTTTTGTTGTTGTTCCAGGAAATCACATGACACGGGTAAGTCATAAACTATTTCTACAAAATCATAGAAACATTTATTAAGCAAAAATATCAAAATGTGAAGCTAATGTTTCTCAACATAGTCTCCACCTAGGCCTATATACTTCTGAAGAGGGTGTTTCCATATATCTAACCTTTCTCTGAAAAATTCTGAGCTCTTGGATTATACCGTATTAAAACAGCAGTTTTGGGCATGCTCAATAGACTCAAATCATGTTTTTTTCCCAATGTTCTTTGAGTTTGGGGAGCAAAAAGAAGTCTGAAGGAGGAAGATCAAGGCTGTAGAGCAGATGGGATAAAGCTTCCCAAAGAAATTCTCAGAGGAAGACCTTACCAGCCTCAAAGAATGAGCAAGTGCGTTGTTACGATGGAAAACAACTTTCATCTGGCCTTTTATTTCACCAATGCAGATTTCAGTGTTCCCAGGATCAATGGGGCAGTGTTTGCTTCTGTTGTGCACAGGGGCGCTGTGAGTTGGTACCGACTCGATGGCACCTAAAACAACAACAAATCTTCTTCCTAATAAGCCCCATGATTGTCCTGTGTCCTTCGAGAAAATCTATCAAGATTACACCTTTGGGATTCCAAAAAAAAAAAAAAAAATTCTGAGCTGAATTCTCTGCCTGACATTTAACTGGTCCAGCAGAACCCCTTGGAAGCCACTGTTTTGATTGGACTTTTTTTTCCCCCCAAGGCACTCTAAGGACGTTGTTAAGTGCCATCCAGTCGGTTACGACCCATAGCGACCTTGTATAGGGTTTCCGCGGAGCAGCTGGAGAGCTTGAACCGCCCACCTTGCAGTTTAAACGGCTTTGCAGTCTGGCGCATTAAGCCACAGCGCCACACCCACACCAGGACTAAGGACATTAAGACAAGTGTATTACTGAGAGACGTTATCTGTAGCCATCCACTAATAACAGAGACACATTAAATACATTTTATTTGGAATAAACCCAAGCATGCATGAACAAAAATCCCAGTAGCACTCCTTTTGTACCTCCTCTAGTATATTTAGTTGTTAGGTAACGCTTAGGCAGCTGGTTGTGACAGTCAAGACTTCCTTTGTTATTGGTAATTGTGGAATGCCCTTCCATTGTGATCTCTTAATGTTTTTCTCGTCATTAGCCTGGAATTACAATTTTTTAGGAGGACAATTACAAAAGTAAAGCGTCATGTTCATCACAACATATCAAAGTACATACTATGAATATGATTTATGACTATAAATGACTATAAACTTGACCTTGGGGTACTGTTTGTCAGGTTTCTCCATGTTGCGCATCCCATACTTACAGAGTGGGCAGTTATTCTTCCCTTCCTATAGAGCTATGTTTTAACAAACAAAATAACCTCACATCACAGGTCCCCAGCTCTTTTCATCATCTATCATGTTTGCACAATTAGCAGCTGCTCTGTGAGGTAGGTTATTTGTTTACACTGATCACGCCACCTCAATTGATCTTTTTTTCATCTGCAAAATGGATGTTTCTGGTCCTTCACTTTTTCAAGGGCTGTAGTAAGTTAAAGTTTCTGGTTGACAAAGGCAATTTCTCTGCATCTTTTATTTGAGTGGCTGGACATCCGAGGCCCAGAAAGGGCTAATGATTTCCCTAGGGTCTTGGCGCTGTAAGATAAGCACTGGACTGCTATCCTCAAGGTAAGCGGTTAAAATCCACCAGCTGCTCGCGGAAACCCTATACAGAGTCACTAGGAGTAGGAGCCAACTCATCCGCACTTTTAACAAAAAGTTATCACCGAAGCCTGGCGGGCTGAGTCCCGGCTGATCCGATACTGTAACCACACCTGGTACCGAATCTCCCGAGCCCTGGGGCGGGGAGCCAGGTGCACTTCCGCCGGCTACAGGAGCCTGCACGTGGCAAGTTGGGCGGGACGTGCGTTAGTGGCAGTAGTGCTATCCACCTGTAGGTGCCAGGATGAGCCTGACCCCGGTGCCCCGGTCTCCGCGGCTGGGTCTGGCTGCGCCCCGCGCCGGTTCCCCGACGGTGAGTGCGCAGTCCGGGAGGTCAGGCGCTGGATGGGTCTCCGTGCTTTCCACGCCGCCGGCTATCCTGCCGCCTCTGTCTTCCCTCACTCGTTTCCCATTTCCCCAGGCTGTCTAGCTCCCCGGTTTCGAGTCCCCCGGGTCCCTCTGCCCTTGGCGCACTCTGTCTCCACCTGTAGCTGGGCGCTCTCTTTTCTCGCCCGTCCTGCCTGCTTTGATCTCTCCATTTGTATCTTGGTCTCTGTTCCTGTTCCGGGATCGCTTCAGCCTCTTATCCTTGCCTTTTCTTTCCTAGCTGTCTTTGTCTCCTCCCTCTGCTCCCTGCTTTGGTTTCAGTTGCTTTCTCTCACAGTCCGCGGTTTGTTTCGCGTCCATTTCTCTTCCCCTGCTCCATTCCTATTTCTGGTGAAAACAGATCCAATTAAGTAAGGGGCAGGCTAGAGGATCGCCCCTCTCCTTTCCCTCCTCACCCAACGCTATCAATATCTTGCCCACTGTTGGGTCCAGACCCACTCCATGACTGTCTTCTTCCAAGGCTTGGATGAAGGAGACATGAAGGCAGAATGGGGAAAAGACTCAGTGTACTCTGGCAGCAGAAAATTCTTCCTTGAGTAGGTGCCATCCTGGAGAGTTGGAGGAAGAGAATGCAGGTCTACCAGTGGGGAGAGTCTGGAACTTTCAAATAGCACCGTATAACATCACTGTTGCTAGCTATTTACAAGGTCTCCTACTCAGCTCCAGGTCACCCTAGGTGTTTAGTAAATGTCTGAATGAATTAACCCACAGGGGAGGGAGCCAGCACCTGCATGATGCCAAGTAAGACAAGATTGGCCTTTATTAGAATACCAAAGAAAACAAACAAAAAGAAAACGCACCATTGCTGTAAATTCATTCCGACTTTGTCAATTACAATAGGGTTTTCTCACACTGGACTGCTAAACACAAAGTTGGTGATACAAACCTATTGCCCACTCCTTGGAAACCCTATGAGTTGGAACTGATTCAATGGAACTTAGAAACAACAACAACAATCTTTTTATAAGCAGATTGCCAGACCTTCTGCATTGCTGCTGGGCGCTCCATGGTTCCATCAATCTTTAGGTTAGTTGTTGATTGTAAACCACTTGCATCACCCAGGATACCCATAAATCAGGGCTGAGAGAGGATAAGGTCAGTTTGATTCAACAGATGTTTACTGAGAATCCTCTGAGTGCTGAGCCCTGCACTAGATACTGGTGACATAATGATGAATCAGGGGTAATTCCTTCCCTTGAAAACTCTCACAGTCTAATGGGGGGATACCGATGAACAAACTGAGAATACAAGTGAGTAACTACCATAAACGTTGGAGGTACAGGGCCTTCTGGGATCCCAGAGGAGACATTCCAACCATTAAGATTCCTGGAGGAATTAGCTTGAAGGATGAGTGGGCTAAATGAAGCAAGTGAGTGAAGTCCTGCAGGCGAGGGGGGCCCTGCCTGCTCTGGAAGGGTGGGAGGTAGGGGGTGGCAGTTCTGGTGGCTGATTGCTGGAGGCAGAAGCAGCAACCAGGTCACAAAAGGGCCTTTTAACCCTTGTTAGGAAGTCTGGAGTTTATCTAGAAAGGAGCAAGATGTCACTGAAATATTTAATGCATGGAGTGACAGGATCACGTTTTTGTTTCAGAATGGTACTCTGGTATCAGAGTGGAGAATGGACTAGAGGAGGGCATGAGAGGGGACAGAGAGCCATGGAACAGAGCAGAAAGATAGAATCAGCATAATCAGTGATTGAGTTCTTAGGGAGGGAGGTGACTAAAGACAGGAGCCGAATGCAAGATTACGTATGCCTCTGTTTCCGGTTCATACAACTGAGATGGTGAACAGTGGCGATAGGTTTGAATCGCCAGCCTTGTGTTTAGCAATCCAGTGCTAGGAAACCCTATTGTAATTGACTTGGAATGAACTTGGCAGCAATAGGTGTGTTTTCTTTTTTAGGCCTGAGGAACTTGGAAGACATATAAGTGGAGGTGTCTCCCTATTGACCTTGACTGCAGATGATCTAAGGCAGTGTCTGAATGTTTGGGGATGCAATACAGATGTGTAAAGACCCTTTAGACTGAATCTGCGTGAGGGCTGGGCCTATATGTGTCCTCAGGCCATTGTTGCCCTGAGAAGAGAAAATAGGTAGAGAATTAAGGTTGGAACAGAGCTGAGATCTAGTTTGATTAACACTGAAGGGACTGGGGATGTTAGGTCAGGGCCAGAAGCTATTTTGCAAAACATCTGGAAATTAGCTTCAGAAATTATATGAAGTGATTTGATTCACTGGACTTCCAGAGTGTGACAAATCTAGAATTCCCTTGGTCCATTTCTCCCATTTCACAAATGAGGAAGCTTAGACTCAGAGAGGGACAGTGAACTGTTCTACTCACACAGCTAATTACTGGCAGACTTGGTACTGGATGTTGGGAGAGGTAAAGGTAGTGACTCAGTACCAATGCTATACTGGAACACTGCGCTGAGAGTCAGACTGATACGGGTTTTATCCTCGCTTCAACTTCAGCATTTCCTAGCTGTGTTTTAGAAGACAAGTTGTTTCTTCTCTTTGAGCTTTCTTTACCTGTGATATGGGGATATTAAAAGGACCTGTGAGCTTTCACTGGGATGAGTGTTGAGAACACATTGGTTCATCCAAGGGTTAAAATCTGTGACTTCACATTAACCACCTGTTCTACAGAGGTGACCTCAGGGTTAAGCAAACAGCCTTGCCAAGGAGCCTTGAGCTTTATGGGAGGAAGAGGGAGTCAGAGACTGTGAGCTTATTTTTCTTACTGTACATTGTTTGGTTATTGTCAGGATGCATCCTCTCCTCTCCCTTCTCCCCTTCAGCTGCTGGTGAAACTGTCCCCTGGTAGGAGCTGTTACCATGGCAACTCAATTCTCCCCAGCAATTTGTCTGTCTTTGGCTCTCTTAATTCCAGTACTTCACTCTAAGAGGTAGAGCCCACATACCAATTGAGAAGGACATCACATGATAGATCAAAGGACATTCCTGAGCCCTGTCCCCACCCCCAACCCTAAAGTGACTTCTGTGTACTTTAAGTAAAAAATCCAGCCTGCCTTCTAACACTGCCTGGATCATTTCTGCAAGCAGCAGCCATCATGTCCCCTAGGAATCTTCTTGACAACCTCTAGCACACATCCACAAAATCTTCTCCTATCTTTGAGTCTTCCCTCTTAGCACCTAAATATTTAGCTGTTTCCCTTGCTCCCCTGTAAATCCTGAGGTCAAAGACTGTGTCCTATTCATCTGCTTAGTACAGGGCTTGCATGTAATAGATCATGCATTTTGTTGATTGAATAAAGGGTGGAGGCATTTGAGGGTTGAAAGATAGTTATATAATGATTCACAGAGTGCAAGCTTTAGAGTCAAACTGACCTGAATCCAAATTCCAAGCTGATTGATCTTGGATAGCTTAGTTCACTTCCTTAAGCCTTAGTGTTTTCATCTGTAAAATGGAAATTTAATACATTCTTCGTAGAGTTGTTGTGAGGAATGAATTAGATAATGCACTGAAAATTGAAAAGTTACTAGATTGTGAGGACAGGGATTATGTCCTGTTTATCCATTATTGGATTCCAGATGCGTGACACATGGGTAAGTGAATTTTAAAAGGTAAATGTTATTTAAGAATCTGGTTTATAACAACTTGTGTATGATCTCTTGTGTAATAATTATTAGACTGTCTTCTGGTATTTTGAACACCACAACACAGCACTCAGTGTGTTTCCAACACTTTACAACAGCCCCATATCCCAATGTTATAAATGTGGAAACTGAGGCCTAGTGTGATGACTGAGACTGACTTGCACAGAAGTCTTCTCTAGTAAACATTCTGTGACCTAAAGAAAACTTACGTGTTTGAATGGGTACTTTTCCCTCATTAAAATGCCATCCTTTGGAACTACACAGCTCCAAATATAGTGCTCTTCATTAAGATGAGCCTTCCCATAGCTGAAGCTGATCATTATGGCTACCCAACTACCAGCTGCTCCGCGGGAGAAAGGTGAGGCTTTCTGCTCCCGTAAAGATTTACAGCCTCAGAAACCCTGTACTGGGTCGCTATGAGTCGGAACTGACTCCACGGCACATAACCACCACCACCAAGCTCTGTTCAGGTTATTCTTTGGATGAAAGTAAGTCATGGGCTCCCTAGATGTGGAGCTGTTGGTTGATTCTGCTTCTTGTGCCTCCAGATCTCACCTGTGGTGGTTCTGAATGTGGGGGGCCAGTTCTACACCACCACTGTGGGCACCCTGAGAAAACTTCCTGGCTCAAAGCTGGCAGAGATGTTCTCCAGCTCAGCCAAGACCTGCATGGATTCAGAGGGCCGCTTCTTCATCGATCGCCCAGGCATCTATTTTGGACCTATACTTGACTTCCTGCGCAGTGGGCAGCTGCCCACTCAGCACATCCCAGAGGTGTACCGGGAAGCGCAGTTCTACGAAATTAAACCTTTGGTCAAACTCCTGGAGGATACTCCAAAGATCTTCGGAGAACAGGTGGCTCGAAAGCAGTTCTTGCTGCGGGTTCCTAGTTATAGTGAGAACCTTGAGCTCATGGTGCGCCTTGCGCGTGCAGAGGCCATGGCAGCACGTAGCTCCAGTGTATTAGTGTGTGCAGTGCATAAGGAACAGGATGCTGTACATTGTGTGGATACACTGCGTACCTTGGAGGCGAATAAGACGTCGGTTGTCAAGTTCGGGCCCTGGAAGGCGGCTCCGGACATTAGGGATCTCCTGGACTGTGTGAAGATGGATATTGAGGCCCAGGGGTACCAGGTAGCCTATGAGTCCTATTCATATCGGGGCAAGGCAGCCAATTACTTCTATACATTCCTCTTCACCTGGTGGTGATCCCTGGGGTGGGAGTGGGGGACTGCTTGCTGTGGGCTCTGGTGGGACTTCTGAAATTAAAAGTTGCCATGAAAAGCCATCTTCCTTTTATTCTAAAAATAAACAGAATGTTCAGCTTGGCATTCTTAGTGTTAGCCTTGCCCCTAAATATTTATTACCCTCTTGAAGACTTTCCACTCATTGCAGCTCACCTCACTGTACTTGCCTAGTGAGGTGTAGCTGCACCCTCTTCAGAGTGTCACCCTTCTTTTGAAGTCCGATAGCAAAGCTGAGATAAGTTAAAATGTATCAACAACTCTTTGGCAGAAGATAGGAGACGACAACAGAAATAGAATACAGGATATCATGAGTCTAGGTAGTGTGACCTAAGGACTCAGCTAGCTCCTGGTATGTGCCTTCATGAGGAAGATGCCACGTGACTGGCTGTAGTAGCTGCTGCTCAGTTGCTGTAGCTTCTAAAGCAGTGGTTCACAAATCGTACTCCCCGGATCAGCAGCACTAGTGTTACCTGGAAACTTTTTGGAGCTATAAATTCTTAGGCCCTTCCCCACTGAATAGTTTTCGTCTTGTCTAGCTTGGTCTGGTGAAAAGAGATGGAGAAAAGATTCTTCTGATTCAATAATGGGTAATTGCTATCATGACTAATTGCGACTGTCACAGTTGTAAAGGTAGCAGTTTTGTAACAAAAATGGGGGAGTAGTTAATCATACAGTCCAGAAACAGAGGACCCTAGGACCATCAAGGGAGAAGAGCACAAGCAGAATGCGGGACCTTATCCAGAGATGCAGCCACACCAGAGATGGAGACAGAGATGGCTACATGGAGATAGGGAGCAGCTGAGACTCTAGATTCATGGGAAGAGAGGGACTAAGAGCTGGTGGCCAGGAGGCAGACTTGCAGAATGTGCTGTTTGGTGGTATAAATTATTATATGTGCCTGAGTGTTTGGGAAAAAAGAGCTAAAGTGAGTAGAGAGAAATACTGTTAACTGATGGTACATGGAGGGTATTATAAGCATTGTAATGAAACAAGGTGCATGATTTGTTAAATGTAAAATGGATAATCTGCCCTGTAAACTATCACTCAATCCACAATAAAAACCTTAAAAAATAAAAATTCTTAGGCCCTACCACAGACCACAGGACTAGAAACTCTGTTTTAACAAGCTCTCCAAGTGATCCTGATAGACTCTTAATTTTGAGTCCTACCTGGTATGGCACCGTGGGTTAATATACTGGACCGCACCGCAAGGTCGGTTTGAACCACAAGTTTGGCTGTTTAAACGCACCAGGTACCAGACGCTCCTCGGGGAAACCCTGTGCTTTGGAACCAGCTTGAAGGCACATAACAATGACAACTGTTCTACAAGAGAATTGATTGCCCTGAATTGAAGCCATCTTGTTTGCATAGAGAAACAAAAGATTGGCCCCTTGCCTCAAGAGAAGCTAATTTTGATGTAGTTTCTCTTCCCTCAGGAATCAGTTTGCAGTTAGTCTTCAGGTGTAACCACATTTTTGTTCATCAGAGTCCAGGTCTGCGATAGATGGCCCCTTCTCTACCTAGTTCATTGCCCAACCATGTCACTTTTCCCAGAATGGAAGGATTTCCTGGGACACAGACTTTCAGTTTCCAAACTAGGAAGGTTCCAGGAAACTGGGTGAGTTGGGTACTCTACTGCCTACCCATATTTCCCCTACTTTGAGTTTCTTTTTCCTTTCTAGGAAGCCCATTCTCTAGTGACAGATCCTGGAAATAACCTCCCCTTTAGGAGAGACCCACATGTCTACAGGAACCTGGCATTTGTTCTCTTTGAATAACCACTTGCTCTGCCCAGGCCTTTCACAAACCATTTGAATTTTCTTCTTTATTTACACCTGCTGGTGTGGCGCTGTGGGTTAATGAGTCAGACAGCAAAGCCATTTGAAATGCAAGGTCGGTGATTCAAGCTCACCAGCTGCTCCTCAGAAACCCTATACAGGCTCACTATGGGTCAGAACCGACTCAATGGCACTTAACAACTCCTACAACACCTCTGTGACATGTTGTAGCCAAAGTCCCAAATCCTCTTTTTGATTACCGGAGGATACTTTGTTTTCAATGTCTTCTTGTTACCTCAGAAGGCTGAGTAATCCATCTCTAATGCTTATAACCTGCAACCATGATTCAGTCCATCCCTGGGGGTTCCTGTACTCATGTGTCTAATATAACTCCCCTTGCTCTTGAGAATAAGTTCCAGTCTCCTTGATATAAGAACTCTTTCCTGGTTCCTGTTGCTAGAGTATTGCTGAGTTTCAAATAAAAAGTATTTTTCAACTCTGATAAAATCTGTCCTCCATAAAAACCTTTCCAATTTCTTCATAGTTATTCAAATTCTTTAAGGCTGCATGTAGAGCAGTGGTTCTCAACTTTGACTCTACTTTAGAATCACCTGAGGAGATTCAAAACACTCCAAACCTTCATTCAATTCAAAATAAAAAGTTAAGACACAAAAAACCATCAGATCACACCCCAAATAAATCAGACTCTTTGGATTCAAGCAAAGTTTGTTTGTTTGTTTGTTTTTTAAAGATAGTTAAGGTTGAAAATCACTGCTGTGAAGTCTCCTTAACTTCAGACCAATGACAATTCACTGATATAATCCAAACCAGTGGTGATCTCTAAGGTTCAGCATTCAGCTATGTATCTCATTGTTACTGTCTCTATTCTAATAAAAAATCTTGTCCTAATTGTAGGGCTAGAAATTACTCTACAGGGCTGGAACTGGGCACCTCATATCTGGACCCTAGTACAGATATGCACGATTCCATGAAAGTCAATATTCTAGGTGGGGCTACAAATGGGACTGCACCTGCTTATGAATACAGTTGTTCACACAGTAATTCCCCTAATTTTTTTCCCCAACTTTTTTTAATTTGAAAGTTTCAAATCTACAGAAAAGATAAATGAATACTACAATGAACCCTTGTACTCCTCTCACCTGGGTTCAGTTGCTAAAATTTGACACATTTGTTTTAACGCTCCCCATTAACATGTCTATATAATATACATATAAATGTGTATGTATGCTTCAGAAAGTTCATGGGAAAATTCCATTACCTATTAATTCCATTTTTCCACCAAGGTTTTGAAGTCCCCTTGTGTGTATATGTGTTGCAGACCGTGTAAGACTAGTCAGAGGTTCGAGGCCCTCTAGGGCTGAGTGTAACAAATGAGGCCACTGGCAGTTAATGGAAAATTGCTTTCATCTTAAT